AAATTACTGTATTCGACAATTTGCCCAATATTGGTGTTATCCGGCAATTTATGATCATGATTGGTAAGGAGTCGCTCGCTGAGTTTTAATTTTGAATATTGGAATAAACATAATTATATCGTAACAAATGAAAAAAATAACAAAAAGAAATTTTTTCATGATCATATGAGTTTGCCAGATAATATCCAATTTTTAATACTGATAATTAAAAATCATCATCAAATAAAATATCATTGCTTAAAAATATCATTGATAAATTGCTTAAAAAAATATTAGTATTGATCAATCATTTAAAAAAATTGCAATAAAGAAAAAATATATATATATAAAATGAATATTCAGCAAGTTCTACCATCTCGTGATACACTTCGAAAACGTATTAGCAGAGAAAATGAAACTCCTAACCAAAATGAAAAACGTCGCATTAACGATTGAGAAAATAAACGTAAGAAAAGGGAAGAAGAAACTGCAGAAAAGCGTGAGATGCGTCTCAGAAGAGACCATGAACGAAAACAACAAAAAAGAACAAAGCATGCTTTAGAAAGTGTTGATGAACATCTCAATCACCAAGATGAAGTCCCAAACCAAAATATTAACATACCTCACATAGAACCACTTCCCGTTCTTGCCGAATCTGACTAAAATCTATTACAAAATTTTCGCACAGAAATTAATAAACTTACTAATACACTTTGTCCTGTATGTAATGAGCATTTTCCATCTATTGAGCTCATAAAGAAAGAATGTTGCCGTCATTGCTATTATGATAAGAATGTGATAAAAAAATTCTCCAAAGAAAACAATATGGACCCGGGTAATGTACCTGAGGAATTACAAGGGCTTACTGAGATAGAGGAGATGTTAATTGCACAAATTTTTCCTGTCGTTTCAGTGTATCGTCTTCATGGAGGTCAGTATGCATACCGTGGCAATATTATCAACTTTCCACAAGATGTATCAGAGTTTACAACTCGACTCCCTCGACATCCATCATCATTGGATATTCTTGTTGTGCATCGTCAGTCTGCAAATAGTTCAGCGTTCAGAGATTTCAATGTCCGTCGCGTTAAAGTTACCTGTGCACTTTATTGGTTAAAAGCAAACAACCGTTATTACGCTGATATTATTATTGACAACGAAATATTACGATCTTTACCTGACAATGGTCCCATTGATGATCAGCTCCCCCAACTTGAAGATGTAGAAGGCGAATATTTTGATAATAATGATGATGAAGACGAAGACATAATAACTAGCAACTTCCTCTTCCATCTTCTAATGAAGAAAGTGCTATTGCTAATACTCTTGGTCGAATGCAAGCTAATAATCTTCCTATTATGTGGCCGAATATAGATGGAAATCCTATTAATGAGTTCCAAACTCCTGGGTACATCACACGCGTATTCCCAACTTTGTATCCAACCGGAGATGGCGATCTTCGGTCAGAACATGTAAGAGAAATTAATCCAGCTGAATATTTCTCGCATATACTAAAATACAAAGATGGAAGATTTGCACAACATGCTCGGTGGCGGTACTTTGCGCTAAATTCACAGATGCGATGGAGGGCACTTCAAGAGGGAAAAGTATATGTTAAACAAAGTTTAAATGGAGAGCAGCTTAACATTGAAGATGTCCAAGAGATGGCAGATAATGATAGTCATATGGCAGATAAGATCGTACGATTCGGTGAGGGCTTGCGTGGAACTCGGCAGTTTTGGAACAAGAGACGGTCTGAACTTACGGACATGATCAGGCAGTTGGGGTCTCAAGGGATGATTTTTTTTACTTTCAATGCTGCCGATCTACATTGGCCAGAACTTCATGAGCTTATATCACATGGCGAGAACCCAGTAACAGGACAGGATACAAGTAAACAAAGACGCCAAGACCTAATCGACAATCCACATATTGCTGCATAGTTTTTCGAAAAACGCTTTAAATTATTCTTAGAAAAAGTGTTGATTCCTAAATGGAAACTTGTGGACTGGTGGTATAGGTTTGAGTAGCAACATCGTGATAGCACTCATGTACATGGTATTGGGAAAATACAAGATGCGCCAATTATTGAATGGGAAAGAATGAAAGAGAATGAAGAGACAATGAGTAATGTGGTGCAATACTTAGATTCATTAGTTACTACGATTAATCCTGGGCTTGACGCACCTGTACCTAATTGCCACTCTTGCCAGAAACGCTCCGATGAAATGTACGATGACCTGCAGGATTACATAGAGTTGGTTAACAAGCTGCAAAGACATACACGTTGCAGTCTTTCATATTGTCTTCGTGTAAACTCTATGGGCCAACAAAATTGCAGGTTTGGATATCCAAAAGAAACAACAGAAAGCACATACTTACGTGACAATAATGGTCAACCTGAGCTCATCACGGCAAGGAACGACCCCTACATTAATCCACATAATCGACTTCAGCTTCAGGGCTGGCATGCGAATGTCGACTTAAAACCGATTCTAAACATGAATGCCGCTATTCAATACATATCAAAATACGCAAGTAAATCAGAACCGCGGTCTGCTGCTTTCTCAGATATATTAAATCGGATTCTTAATAATAGCAGACCTGGCGATTCATCTCTTGGCGTGTTTCAGAGATTATTGCTCCATACTATTGCAGAGCGCGATATTTCCGCTCAAGAGACATGCCATCTCCTCCTTAGTATTCCCCTCTACCACTCAAGTCGTCGATTTGTTACTTTAAATCTTAACAAAGAGGCTCCACGGTGGCTTTATGGCACTGGATATACGAATGAAGAAAACTTTTCAGTAAATAGTGAAGTTGGGCGAACTGTACAGTCACCTCTGCAGAAGTATTGGAGTCGACCCATTGAACTTGAAGACCTTTCACTCTTTCAGCTTTACCTAAGGTATAATTTTTGGAACAATCAGTGGAAAGAATGCGAGTGTGAAAACATAGTACGAATTTGGCCACGACTATCACCTAAGCGTAATGGTCCTCAATGGGAAGAATTTTGTCGCGTAAAGGTTCTGCTTCATGTTCGTCATAGAAATCTTAACCAATTAACTAAAAATGGGACTGATTCATAGTCAGACCTCTTTAATAAGCATCATGCAGAGATCGAAAACGAGCATGCTGATTTACTTGGTCCCCCTATAAATAACTTGGAAAACGAATTTGTTAATGAAGAAAGCGATGATGAATGAGAAGATGATGACCAAGAAAGAGAGATGCGACTTGAGTGGATGATTCTATCAGAGATGGGACCAAATGTAATTATTGAGAATTCTTCTGGGTTGGGTTCACGTGATATTGATCGAAATTACGATTGGGTTGGCGATGTTAGATAGCATCATTCCGATCTTAATTTTGCAGACATGGCTAATATACAACAAGCTCGCACTTCTGGCACTATTAATGATGAGAGCTCGGTCATTAATTGTATTGTAGATTCTCATACCTTAAATGAGAAACAATTGGCAATATTCAAGCGAATTGAGTCTCATTATAGCGACTTGATTGTAAATCCTAGCCAAGTTGAACCACTCAAACTTATCATAATGGGAACTGTGGGAACAGGAAAATCACATCTAATTAAAATTATTCGAGATCGTCTCCAGGAAATGGCAAGGATTTATAACGTCAATACCCAATCACCTATACTTGTATTTGCACCAACTGGAGTTGTAGCGTTCAACATTCACGGGACAACGGTCCACTCAGCACTCTCAATTCCAATAGGAAGTGCTAATTTAGATATAGACGGTGAACGATTGAAACAACTACAGAAAAGACTAAACGGTGTGAACTATTTCATCATTGACGAAAAAAGTATGGTTGGGCGTCGAATACTTGCCGTAGTTGATATGCGACTACGCCAAGCATTCCCTGAGCATAAAAATCAGCCCTTTGGTAATTGGTCAGTTATTCTTGTTGGCAATTTTGGTCAACTTCCTCCAGTGCTTGATGAGCCTATGTACTCGCAAACCTTCCGACGTGATCCATTATCAAACGACAGTATTACTACATATAAACAATTCCAAGAGGCCTATAAACTTGATATAGTTCAGCGTCAATCAGGAGATTCGGAAGAGCAACGTAATTTCAGAGCTATTCTATTGCGGCTACGTGATGGTGAATCTACGGTAGCTGATTGGAAAGTACTTGCTGCGCGATTTATTGATTCACCAACCATTTTATCTCCAGAACATGATCAATTCTCAGATGCCACGTGCATCTTTCCCCAGAAGATCGATGTTAACGAATTTAACATCGACAAACTTAAATCTTTGAACTGCCCTGTTGCTAGAATTAATGCCATTCACACAGGTGGCAATGAAGCACGTAAGGCCGATTCTGATACAGCAAAAGGCCTTGAGGCACAATTATTACTAGCAAGAGGTGCACATGTTATGCTCAGGGCTAACTTATGGACAGAAGTAGGGTTAGTGAACGGCTCAATGGGCATTGTCCAAGAAATCGTATTTGAAGAAAATCAAGGCCCACCCTCCCTTCCCATTGCACTTCTAATAGAGTTTGATAATTACACTGGTCCTGCTATTACGACTATAGAAGGTAAAAAAACTCGTTCCAATTTCACCCATCAGACATACCTGGAAGGAGAAAAAAGGAATCTGCTCGCGAATGCAGGTCCCTGTCATTCTTGTATGGGCTATTACTGTACATAAGAGCCAAGGGCTAACATTACAAAAGGCTGTAATAGATCTCAGGAAAAAGGAGTATGCTGCCGGCATTTCATTTGTGGCAATTTCCCGAGTCTGTGCTCTCAGAAATATCCTTTTTAGACTATTTTCACTTGATAGGCTTCAGCGTATCAAAACTTGCAAAAGGCTACAAGAAAGAATGGCTGAGGAAGGACGGCTAAGTTCCATGATTCCTCAAATCGGGCCCATGTGATATTGAAAATTTTGTATATTGACAAATAATAATTATTATTATTTTACGTTCATAAAAAGAATAAGGCAGAAGAAAATTTAGCTGCTAACCCTTTTTCAACATGACATTTCATTAAATTATTAGATTTTATACCTTTTTTTCATATTACCTGAAAAATTCTTCATTGCAACTGATATTTAAATTTCGTCAAAATGCTAACTTCGAAATAAAAAAAATCTAGATCTAACAATGAAGGTAAGTCATACTCATATCTTATATCTAGGATTGTTAAAAAGCTTGTTGGACCCGGTCCTTGAGTCGACTTCACATGGACTTTTTAGCACTCAAACCTGTTCTGGACAAAATTCAATATGCATGTCCAATTTCTGAATTTGTGATCCATATCGATATAGTATTAACACTTTTTTGAAGTTTTTATTTTTCATTTGAAATGTTACATTTTTAAAGTGATCGGACCCGAATAAAGGATAGGTTAGTGGAATGTCTAATTTTACACGATGTTCATGTATTGTCATATATTGTTTAGCCAATCAAATTACAAGTTTTAAAAGAATAAAAAAAATAGATAAAATCGAAGTTACAGTATATGAATTTAACTTCAGAATATACATATGCAATATATTTTTTCGCTAAATGAGTGAGTACATAATTGTTCTGTTTATTTATTAACTAATAACGAACTAACTTCTAATATCATTATAAAGACTTTTGTGTATATAATTTATAAAGACTTTCATGTATATAAT